TTCCCTACGATCATTCTACCTTTATAATCTAGTGAGACTATAAACAAGCACAGCGGTTATTCCCCAATACATTTCTTCCCCTCAGTGTGGAGACCTCTCTCTGAAGAAGTGCACAGCTAAAATACAGTCTTCTCAAAATAGCCTCCAAAAAGCTGACAGTGGTTTAACAACTTTTGGTGTCTATCAGACCTGCTAAACTGGATTTAAATAAATAAGCTATGTAGGAGGTGCAAGATTCTGCATCATATGAGCAACTCTCATGGCATATTTTCAGACCTTTCCCCCTGTATTTAAAGTATAAACATTATTATAGAAATGACTGTTGAACTCACGGATCATTGGACTTTGGAATAAGCGTGCCAAGCTCCTTGATTCGGTAATTAATATTATACCTTCTTCTTCTTTCAACTGTTAAAAAGAAACATTTTCTACTTTCATTATGAAACATTCTTGGGGAAAAAATCTATATGAAACACCTGAATTAGTTATAAATGAGTGGTCCTGTCCAAAGAATATTTCTTCCCTCAAATGAAAGCACATGAAAGCCCCATGTTGCTTTGATGTCTACATTTCACCCCTTTCCAATGAACTTCCTTGGAAGCAAGGACCATCTCTGGTCCTCAGGACAGCTGGCACACACTCTCATTGTAGAACCCAACCTTAGGAATGAAATCAGGCTCATATTGTGAAATTAATGTTTTATTCCCCAAATCCTTCTGTATGGGACTCAAACCTGCTGCCACTGAGATCTGTAGAATTTTTCTGTTCATTTCCAGGGGAGCATGAAGAGTCTGACCCTGTCGTGCACATTCACTCAGGATTCCCAGCAGCCTGGGCAAATTTTGACTCCTGATAAATCCTCCTTTTCCCTTTGTGTTCACCTGCTATAATCTGACAGCAACGAGAATCACATGAAGAGGACCCCTTTAATCATCCTGATTAAGGCAGAGTAAAGGCATTCCAGATGACTCTTCAGCCTTTGCATCACCACCTCTCATTAGGGCAGTAATTCTCACCCATGGTGCCATGGCATCCTGGGGTGCCTTGAGATCCTTTCAAGGGTGCTGCGGTGCACCACACAATGTTAGCACTGTTAGGTGTGTAAGCATGACTTGCAAGATAAACCTGGAGATTTCAAATAGGAATTCATAGTGTTAAAAACATTCTGAGTCGTCATGGCCTTTCAGTGTTTTTTGCTACAGAAAAATTGTTCTATTATTTTTCTCTAGTCAAAAAACAAGTGAAAACTAAGAGCTGGCAGTTTCTAGGGGTGCCTTGAATCTAAAAAGGTTGAGAAACACTGCATTAGAGATTACATGGTTGTCTTTACTTTGAAGGTAGACTGCATCAACTTACCCATACAATAGTTTTCTTAAAACAAGATAAATTTAAAACAGACAAAATTTATATTAATTCAACAGAAACTACTTGTTTAAGTGTACCTAGATTTACCAGTCCAATAAAATTATCCAGATAAGGCATCTCAATTTAGTTTTAGTTTAGTTACAGAAGAAAAATGAAGAAAAAAGTGAATAGCTTATAACCTTTAAAACAACTCCCTTTCTCTGACCATTCAGGTATGCTTGTTAGCAAAGCATTGCTATGAATGGGCTTGTCATCCTTTTGCCACTTCAAGTCAGTGCACCCAGCCCTAGTTCCCACACCATTTTTTCTAGTTTTCTAGGTACATGGTAGGATTTGGAGTTGTTGCAGTACTTTATAAGGTATCAACCATAGAGGTTAAAAGACTTTTCAATGATAGTTTATACCTGCCTTTAAAGGGATGTACTGACCTACCTTAGATACAACACCTCACAGATTAAGCTGTCTGATTGTATCTACTTTTACTTAGGCCACTAGCAAGCCACCATAAGCAGGTTTTTCTTCACTCGTGACCTATGATATATGAATCCTCTGTTACAGGATGCCCAAACTGTGTATAACAGGCATTCTACATAGTGTTCATATGTGCCATCTCCATAGCAATAAGAAAGGCAAAACTAGAAGGAAACGTGTTTACAAGCTGAAAAAGAGAAAGACAATAAATCAGGAGCCAATTCCAAACTGACCATTTTAAAACTATATCTGCTTAGCTTTGCCAAATTCAAAAGGCCATATGCAGAAACACAAGCTGGGAATAAGTCCCAGTAAAAAAGAAAGACTTACATTATGAAGAAATAACAGGAGTCAGGACGCCACCAGAACAGAGGCAATGGGAAATTCTGAGTGTGCTACCCTAGCAATACATGCTGCCACAAGCACACCAAACCTGTCCTTTGCATTGACTCCCCATATTGGAGTGTCAGTCAAGTCTATAACTCCTTGTCAAATCCAACTCCTTTTTAGTCAGGTAAGTAGCATTTACACAGCAAACTTTAGTGAAGATGTTTCTGCATTTTTGTTTTAATGGACATATATAAAATGGACACCTGGAAATGGGCACAGAAGCAAGGGCCAGAGTCCTTAAAAGGCAGTGGCCAGCTCACTGACCTACAGAAGCACGCCTGCTTTTTGCCTGCTCTCCTTCTGATCCTAAATATCTTCTCCACTTGTCTGCCCAGCAGCCAGCTTCAACAAGTGGTAAGAAAAGCACTTTGCTGGGAAATAAAAGCTGTAGCTGTAAACTCTTTTGGGGTGAGTGTGGCTTAAAACCATTGTTCTGAGTAAGTGCCCTAAACTTAGCCTCCTGGGCTAGAAGTTGGGAGGGTTGTCCTCTTCTGCTATATTAGTGTAATTTACACAGTTATGCACTGTCTTTGGAACAGTAGGACCTGAAATCTGCATGAGTAGCTTAAATGCCATGTTAGCCATGCAATTCCTACTTCCTGGCCTCAAGGCAGCATTAGATTTTGGCCCATCTTCAAGATGGCCTGGGTCCAAGATGAGGGTCAAGTTCAACAGCTTTGCTCTCAGGCACAGTGATACTTGGACTATAGGTGTGAAGCAAATATGTTTAGGAGAGAGAGTTTTCTTAGGCCCAGCCTGCATCTAAGGAATGAACATCTACAACTATTAAAGAACCATCACAAGCCTCACCAGCTTCCACTCTGAATGCAAGGGACAGCAGTTTGACTACATCGTCCCCATAGAACAATGTAAATTTATTAAAAGCAAAACATGACATTACAAAGACCATGCTCCCCAAAACATTTTCTGAAATAAAATGGAGCGGCTGGCAGACATGGCTCTCAAGCTTGCCTCATATCACTTCCTGTGCATTCAGGATCACTCTAGGAAGTCTGCTTACATGAGGGTATCTTGTGGAGTCAGGAGCAGTCTGGAAAATCCCTGGAGTCAGGGTATTTCCTGTAATGGATGAAGGAGCTGAAAAGTCTTGGAACCCCAAGCATAAAGTCTTCAGGAAGCCCTAGTGTCCTCAAATGCAAAAGAGTTAACATGGTGAAGCTGCCTGGAGTCGCATACCATAGAAGCTGTGAGATCTTTATTACTCAAGCAGTTTGCATAGCAAGATTGCCCCAGAGTCACAAGCTCTAGAAGCTCTGGCATCCCTGGCATCCTGCCAGGGTTGATATATTTACCAAAATGTTTCTTTGAAAGCTTCTGACAAATCATAATTGTCATACTAAATTATGAAGAGAATGGGAATGCCTTAGTCCAGGGCTGTCCAACTGATAAGCCACAGAAGGTGTTAACCTGCAGACCTCAGGCTCCCAGCTGGCCACTGATCATCCTATTGCTCCAGCTGCAGCAACGGCCAGGAGCTCCAGGCCCCCTCTCCAATTTCTTCTTCCTCTGCCTGCCCCAGGGGACAGCATGGTGCAGCATAGCCCATGATGCTGGGGGAGCCTGAGGTGCAATGCACTGGGCGAACCTGTGGCCAGTGAGTTAGAGGAGGGGTGACTGCCCCCTACCCATCCACACCTGTAGTGCAGTGGGGGTGGGAAGGGGAACCACACAGTAGCAGCAGCCCACAGAGTGCAGCCCCTGCTGATGCAACCTGAGTGGGGCATGGCCCCTGGCTGTCTAGGAGTTGAACAGCCCTGCCTTAATCCACATTCGGATGACTGCCTAACTGAGTCTGTCAGGAATTTCCCTTTCTTCTACCTTATGCATGTTACATAAACTCAGCCCCAGCCTAGACTCAAAGAGCAAAGCCTCAAAGAACATTGTAACCCACCATTATACCAGTGAATAAAGGAGTATGCACATGACATGCATTTATTGGTGTTATTTACTAGAATTCAAAGTAGAGTTACCCCAGGAAAATTAGGAGGAAAACTTCACAGATGTAAGTGAGACTGGTATAGCTTTCTTATGTCTGTTTCTGTCCAGACACAGTCCTTTGCTTATATAGCAATAAGCTATTATCACTTCCCTCACCAGTTAGTGACAAGGCATCATAGTAAGTACTCACTGTGGTTGCTACTCTGAGAAAGCTGATCATCTTGTCTGCCTCCATACACTGGTGTATGTTAAAGCATAAACAGTGTATGAAATTAATGCAAGTTACATTGATATTTAGGTATCATGTGGCCAAGTCCACTTAATGCCTTCATTTTCAGTGGATGCATCTAAACATGGCTCTACAGCACTGTTGTTACTGCACTGTCATTTAGTACTTCCAAAAGGAAGTACCAAAAGGAAAATCCAAAAGGAAGTACTAAATAACAGTGCAGTAACAGCCCATACTGCACTATGTTGGTGGCATACGATTATTTTTAGCCTCTATGTTGCCGTAGCAATGCACTATTTTGAGGGAGTGTGTTGTTACAACCATGTAGCAGCAGCATCATGGTTTTTGCTTGCGGATGCTACAGCAATGTAACATCACATGTAGATGTGCCCACTGAGGAGCAGACTAATTAGCTCCACAGTCAAGTGTCATCATAGTGACAGTACTATCTTACAATGGAGTCACTTACTGCACTGAAAAGTAAGTACAGATGATGTATATGAAATCTTTGCTGTGGAGTTGCCTAATCAGCTCCACAGTAAACTTCGCAGTGTCTACATGTGCAGTGCTATTAGAACAGAGTAAGCTAATTAACTCCACTGTAGGTTAGTACTTGTAAACACAAGTACTGTCTTACAGCACAGTTCTTTACTCCACAGCAATGCACATGTAGTTGCTGACAGAGCTGATTGGGGCACAAAAGCGCTTCAGTGCAGCAGCTGCCTACCAGCTACCCCTGCAATGGAGCACACACCAGCCAGTCCCCCTGCAGCACACTGATCCAAGTTGGAGCAGCTCTGGGATAGCAGGCTGACCCCCCAGGCCTTCAGGTAGCCAGAGTTGCTCCCACCTGGCTCAGTGTACTGCAGTCCTGGGCATACAGTCAAACGTTGCACCCATGAGCAACAAACTCTGGTGTTATATGCACCAGAGTTTATTGCATCGCATTAATTTCACAGGTAGATGCAGCCAGTGTGTAGCCTAGGACAAGTTACTTTACTAACTTCCCTCCCACCTGTTGCTGCTATTGTACATTTTCACTCTAAGACCTTCAGGGCAGGGATTCTCTCCCTATTTATTTTTATAAGGCCAAGCAAAAGAGTGCCAACCTTGGTTGCAGCCCTTAGTGTAAATAAAGGCATAATAGGCACCCACAGACATGCAGGTCCCTGCTCTAGCTTACGATACTTTGCATAAAGTGCCATGGGTTAGAGCTACCCTCCACCTCACCATCAACTCAACAGATGTTCGCCTGTTAGGTCAGGAGGGTGGAGTTTGAGCCTGCCTACTTGTCCAATGTGTCCTACTTGTCCCCCCAATGATTGGGGCAGGGCTCATGCAGCCCCACACCCACTACCAGCTCCAGTGCTGTCTGCAAAGAGAGGGAGGAGGAAGACAGTTTCAGGCTGGGGTTTGCCTGGCCTGAACTGAAGAAGGGGGTCCCAAGGTTGTGGGGCTCCAGTCCACACCCCCCACACTCCAGCTCAGGCTGGGCAAACCCCAGCCCACAGTTCCCCCTCCCCTCCTCCCTCCCTGCAGACCACACCAGGGATGGGGCTGGGCTGTATCAGCCTAGCCCTGGTTGCACTGACAGACTGACCCTAGGGAACAGACATTCCCTAAGGTGCTCCACTTTGGAGTGCCTTCATCTGGTCCCTCATTAGGTAAGGATTAATTTGTCATGTGATCAGCCCCTTTATAGTACTTTGCAGACATAAATGTGTGTCAAGGCATGGCTGTAGAGTGCTTTCAGGGGCCAATCATGCAATAAATATAACTTATGTCTGCACCAAATATTATTAGATAGTGCTAAAGAAACAGGTGTTATTTTAATTAATTAATTCTACATGGGGAAGGTGTTCTGCAAGTGAAAAAAAAACAGTACAAGTGCAAAGTAAGTTTCATCTTGAGAAAGAAAACAAATATGTTTCTCTGTGTTTGTAGACTGAGTGCTTTTTTCATTTTGTCTACAGGTATGCATCTCTTCTCTTAATCTTGGACAACAGCAAAGAGCTGATAGCTGGCAAGTTCTCTTCCTGTACTCTCTCTACATAACATGTAATAATATTGAAGAGCATATACTCACTGAGGTTGTGGTTATCCTTTTTTTGTCTCTCCTTTGCCATTGCCCGTGTATCTGCTTCTGACAGAAAGGAGCATTTATTAAATAAGTTCTTGGGTTGAAGTTACAATACTAGTTCCCTGTTACAATGCCCCTTTTCATTAAGACAAGGTTTTTAGGCTATGCCTTTAGCACTTTTTATCAATTCCCACAAAAAGACAATGCCACTACATCTACATTCAACCAGTAACACATTTTCAAGTGTCTGGCAGGTTTCTTAAGATGTATTGATAATGCATTTTTAATTAAAACATTTAGAAATACTGAGAAAGTACATTGCGTTTAGTATTTTTCTCTACTTTACTGAACTTTACATCAGAGAAAAAAGTCCTTACAATAAACTAATGTGAATCAGGATTTGTATATCCCATAATGCAAGAGTAAATCAGATTTTAAGATATTCACATTGAACAAACTCACTGTTTCATTTGAGTGACACTAATAAACTGTACATGGTTGTTAGCATTCTTTGGATTAATTGAATGTAACTTTTAAAGTTGTTAATCCATTAATATAGATTTACCTTGAATAGACTTATTGTAAGCTTTTAAAAGAGCCATTTGTTCTACCCTGGAACAAATTTAATGGATGATAATTTATTTATACCATTGATCAGGAGCCAAAATGTGGAAGGATCCGTGGTTTCCTAAAATAATTAGGTTCATTAGAAGCATGATTTTCATAAAAGTCACAGGATAGACATTGTTTCTAAGTTGCTAAAGTAGAGAACACAGTGTAAACATTTCCCTTGATCTTTACTCAGCTTTTTAAATGGAATAGCACATACTCTGTAAGTCTTAAGTAACATAATATTAAAGAAAAAATACATTTAACAAGTATCTTGTTGTAAGATTATTTGAACTTTTACAATAAATATCATAACATGTCAAGATCCCAGAGCTATATTACCTGTGATTTCCCTTTTTACTGGTAGGATAGCTGGGCAGGAAGCATTTGTAAGACCCATATTAGCAGGTGATATTCCCTGGTCACTGTTGTATATATCCAAAATGTTATTAGACAGCTTAAGGAAACAAAGGAAAAAATAAGAAAAAAGAGAATCAGAATAAAGTTGAAGGAGTTAAAGGTTAAAAAAAATGTAAATATTTATAGAAAATCACTTTCATAGATGTATATTCATGCATCATCATTTATTTATTTTTCAGAGATGCCTGTAAAGCAGTGGTTTTCACCCTGGTCTGTGGACCCCTGGGGGTCCATAGATTCTATCCAAAGGGTCCATAAAAGATTACTCTGATCAATCAAAAGTATGTAAATGCCCACACTTATAATTCAAAGGGGTCCACACCTCCATTTGAAATTTTTTAGGGGTCTGCAAATGAAAAAGGGTGAAAACCATTGCTCTGTGAGAATCTGCCCTTATCCTGTACTGTAAAATTAAAAGTTAAGAGCAAAGCCTGCCATTGTTCCACATGCAAAGCATGCTGACTGAAGTTTGTATGAATTTTGTATGCAGACTGAAGGCAGGATATGGTCCTGATGTCTAATTTTGAATTAATGCTATAGCAAAATTTCCAATAACAGGATTACTGAAACTACACTTCAAACATGAGTTCAGTTGAAAGGGAAAATAACCTTGCTAATCTTAACTTAGTCTCTAGTGAATATTTAACCATGCCACTGGACATCAAGTTTTAATTTTAAATTGTTAGAGCATAAACAGTTTAAAGCGTAGAAGGCCTAACTGTATGCAAGATTTAAAATGGGAGAAGTAGAAAATATGTTATAAGGTAAAAATCCTGCACTGTTACAAGGATAGACCAGCTAACCTGATCTGTTCCATGTCTGTGATAACCTATATTATTATGGTTGTTCTGTTCTTTCTAAAGTGTAGCATGTTATTCCAAAAGAAACAAAAATGTTGGAGATATGGTCTTAGGAATTTCAGATAATGCCACTAAAGAGTACTTTTTCTTTGAATAATTCAATAAATCCTAAAAACTGAAACTCTAGAAATAGAGTAATGTCTGTTTGAGTCAGTGCTTCCACTACTATTTAATCAACCCTTCATCACTAATTATCACTTCCTCTGACATAACTAAACATAGAAAACAACTGTGAGATCCACACCAACTCCTCAGACAAAATCAGGGTGGAGCGAGAAACAAGGAGGAAAAAAATGAAAGACAGTATTATTTCTTTTTATGGCCTGTGCAACCTCTGGGTAAAGCTGTCTTCCAACCTGGACCAATATACAAGGAGTCAGTGCTGTGGTTTTTGTTAGTCAAGTTCCAAAAACCCTAAACCTAAATGAAGAAATCAGCATAGATAATTTGTGACAATAGGAAAAATAAGTACTCTTTCCTCTGGACAACAAATAAAGGGACTGTCACAGGTTATCTTTAAAATATTTTATATCTGTGGAATGCTATGCCACATAAAGTTAGAACATTTTCAGAGTAGCCACAGGTTAAGGTTTAGAAACCTTAGAAAGTTAGAACATTTTCAGAGTAGCCACAGGTTAAGGTTTAATGCCATCTCAGACCTGCAGAACTAACTTGCCACTAGAGATAGGGACAGACATTGAAATTAGTCTAACCTGAAGAAATTGAACTGATTTGCAAGTGAACAGACATCCACTTTTCATTCTGGAACTGCAGACACATGCAGTATCTCAAGCTGGAAATCTGGGGACGCTCCCCTTACCTTCCACAGGGAATCTGAGCTGGGGGCATGAGGGGTGTGGCCAGGCCCCAGCAGACCTGAGTATGACTGAGAAGGGGGTTAAACCCTGACCTTGGCCTGCAGGATTCAGAGGGTGGGGGAAGAGGAAGCATGGCCAGACAGGGGCATGGCCAAACTCCCATGACAAGGAAAAAGGAAGAGGGGGAGATCCCTGACTGCCACAGTAACTCCCTGACAGCCAGGAGCAATCTGGCCACACAGCTCCAGTGCCTGGCCCCAGAGGGGGATTCTTCCCCCTCCTCTTCCTCCCTCTCTCCCACTGCTGCAAGGCAGGGAGGGGGGTTCTGTGCAGTGCTGCCTGGCCTCAGAGAAGGACTTTTATGACTCTTCTGGCCCAGCAGGTGCCTGCCACAGGGGCTCACTCTGGATACACAAGCCCCCGCTATGCCTCTGAGCTGGCCCTGGTAGCCTGCTGCTCAGCCAACCACTACCCATGCACACCAAGCCAGGCTGCTCTCACTGACAGGGCTCAGCTTCTCTATCACTGAGCTGCAGCCACTGAAGAGGGCCCCACCCCTGTGGCTTAGGCTGGCCCTGCCATGCAGATGCCTCAGCTGAGGCTGAGTGGGGCTGGCCTGGGCTGCTGGGCCCTCCTCAGTAGCTGCAGCTCAGCACCAGCCACTCCCCATGCCCAGGCTGGGCTGGATCAGGCTGGGCAGCACCGCACAGAGCCCCCCTCCCTGCACTGAAGTGGCAGGGGTAGGGGAGAATGGGGAAGAGCCCCTATCCAGCACTGCACAGAGTCCCCCTCCCCACCCTGCAGTGGCTGGCGGGGGGGAGCTGCTCCACCCTGGCTCCCAGTGGTACGCCAGTGGGGGGGGGGGGTGATTAATCTCCTTCCTGCCCCTTTAGCCTTAATGGGGCCATGCTGAGATGGTTGTTGTCCCTGCTGGTCAGACAGGGAAGGAAGAGGGGAATAAACCCCCTCCTGGGCACCCTGACAGAGGCTGCTGCCCCTCCTCATCCCATTGCTGCTGCAGTGGCAGGAGTGGGAAGCATGGCCCCATTAAGATGGAGGGTTAATTCCTCCCTCTGTCCCTTCTGCCTCTGGGGTCCATAGCTGGGATCTGCCAGCCCCGGCTTGCCTGCACAAGGAGACCCAGGATGCAGTGGGTGGTGTGGAGGGGAAGGAGGGAAGAAGTAACCCCCTCCCTGCCCACTTCGCCTTAACTGGGCCATGCCAGGATGCTTCTGGGCACATCCCCACCCCTGCTCAGGCTAGAGAGCAGAGGGGTGGGGCAAGCCCTACTTTCTGGATCAGAGAGCACAGCCCAGCTCAGGGCTGCAGAGTATGCTGGGATGCTGGAGGACTCTGGTTTAACTTAAACCAGGAAGGAGTCTGGGACAGAAGTTACATGAAGTGGTTTGACCCAAATCAGTTAAGTCTAATGTTACATTGAACTAAGTTTATCTTAAACAAGTTTCAGCCATTTTAAAACTGGTTTATGTGCACTGAACTTATGTTTTGTTACAGGTTTAAGCCAGTTTCTCATCACTTAAACTGGTTTGTGTATAACTGCTGTCCCTAGCCTGGAGGGACTGGTGAGCAGGGGCATGGACAGAAGCCAGGACTCATTTCCTTCTTTGGGATGAGAGCAGTGGACGAGGCGGGTGGCATGCAGCTCAGAGGCAGAGACACTACAATGTGGCTTCCCTCATTCTATAATGAGCAGGAGCCTGCCAGAGTTGTGGATGGGAGGAAAACAGTCTTTAAAAAAAAAAATGGTTTGTAGTGAATGGCAAGGGGAAAAAGTGAAGAGAAAAGTGTGGGGGGAACCCCCCCCCCAAAAAAAACCCAACTATATATAGGCCTTGGGCCAAAATTTTGCATGTTTCACTGAATTGGGAGTGAGGCCCTGACACCCATCACAGAGCCCAGGCTGCTTGCAGCAGGTGGTGGGGAGGCTGCAAGTAGCTGCTTAGGGTCCATAGAGCCCTGACCTAGCTCATTGCTAGTGGCAGATGCATACGTGCCTTGGGGCAGATGGTGGGGAAGGGGCTGGGGCTGCACTACCACAACAAGGATTAGGCCCCTTGCAGCTTCCCTGTCATCTGCCCCGAGGCACACATATACACAAAATGCCTTGACAAGCCACATTTTGGTACATGTTGGAGGTTACTGATCCACAGAAAACTGGTGAGCTGCATCCGAGTCCTCAGAGTGGGCAGGGGTGGGCAAAGTCTGGCCCATGGGTCAGATCCAGCCAGCAGGGGACTCCATTTCCCAACTGCCCCTGGGGGCTGGTCTCCATGGAGACCCTACCCACAGCTGCACTGTGATAGCGCAAGGCTGGGGTTGCCATGAAGACTGGCCCCAGCTGCACTACCAGGGTGCACAGCAGGGCAGGGCAGGGGGCTGCTCTGGAGGCCTGGGATCTTACAGTGGGGACAGCTTGGTCTGGGGCCAGGGCATAGCCATGATCTGCAGTCTGCATGCTTGGGGTAGGAGCACACAGGCAACAGATTGCAGCTCTGCCCCAGTTCCGTACCAGGCTGTCACCACTGCAAGGTGCTAGGGCAGAGCCACAATCTGCTGCCTGCATGTCCCTGCCCACAGTGTGCAGGCTGCAGATCAAGTGTGCAGACCCTGGACCAAGCTGCTCTCACTGCCAGGGGCTCCAGAACAGCTTCCTGCCCTCTCCTGCCACATACCCTAGCAGTTGCACACTTCACTATCACTATCACACTATCACTATCACTTCACTATCACAGCACAGTTGCAGCTCAGGTCTCCATTGAGACCAGCCCTAGCCATGTGGGCAAGGGGTGCTGGGAAATGGAGTCCGGCTACCGGCTGGATCCACCATTTTGCCCACCCCTGCCCTAGGGGCAGAAGGGGATGATGACCAGAGCCAGCACCACCCCTATGGGCAGTAGATTGCAGGGGAGTTTAAAGTTTGCCCATGGAGAAAAGGAGTGCAAAGTGTAAGGAACAATGCATCCTGGGATGCTGGAGGAATAAAAATAGAGCATCTTATTTCCCTGGAGTAGACTAACAAAACCCTGGAATGACCTGGGTAAAGCAGATCAAAGATTCCCCCTGCTTGAACTGGCATAACTTTAAGACATTTACAGGGTACTTAGCACAGGTTATCATATTTTAATGGATGAATGCTCCCATTTTAAATGCCTTTATGATGGTTTAAAGGGACAATTAGCATGATTAAAATATTATCATCTCTGGTTATAACAGACTTAAAAATGACAGAATGGGTAAAAGGACAGTTATGTCCTTTAATAAAGACACTGTTACTTCTTTTGGAGTTTTGATCATCTCAGAACTTCAGGACTTGGTTGCATTAACTGTGGATTAGTTTG